TGTTAAATAAAAAAATTGGCTCAGCCTTCCATCAAGGCAGATTGGGAATGAAGTAATGAACGACCTAGATGTCTCTGCAGGAGAAAGAACCGATACCTTTGGACTTAATCTTTCCTCTAAAGGCTCAGCACACCAGCATTGAACCCTTTTATTTGAGCCATCCTCCATCATCCCAGTCAGTTATAGACCCGCCCAGGACCCAGCTCCTCTTTCAGGGAACATTCAAAATGTGCAGACTCCACCTCCTTGGGTCATGGCCTAGCCACTAAGAAGGAGCTCACCTCCCACTTCTGAGCCAACACCCACTGCCCCAATGCTGTCCCGAGTCAGCTCCTTCTTTCTGTGGGCCAAGTTCTCATGTGCTACTCTTACTGGGACTCTAAGCTGGGATTTTGCCTAATTATTCATGTGAGAGAGAGACTTAAAGGTGTCCTTATGGGAAATGCCTGACCTAGCTGTCAGAAATTTCACCCCATCTGTCCTCAGGGATGCCTGTCCCAAGGCTGTCCAACCCACTCTCAGTACAGCTTCATCCTGGGAGTACCTGTGTCTTCCCCTTCAGCCAGACTCAGTACCAACGTGCAACCTGCAGCATTTCCCCACCCAGCGCCCATGCCAGCTGTAGTGGTACCGAGCAGGGCACACACGGGATCCACCTGGGCAGCGTTGACTCTAGGTTCTGCTCTCTTCCGTGTTGACTTCGTGGGGGCTGAGCAAGTCCTGGTCACTGAGGGTCACAGAGGGTTGTGATGTGTTTCTAGAGTCTAGACACAGCTGAGGTCTGGAGAGGCTCTGTGGGTTGCGCATGTGGAACATTAGCGTGAGGACTTGAGTTCCAATCCCCAAACCCACATAAAACTGAGCATGGGCCTGTAAAACATACATCTGCGATCCCAATATTCCCGCTGCTAAGAGGAAGGTGGAGGCAGGAAAGTCACCTGAAAGCTCCCAGGGCAGCTGTGTGGCGCACACAGAGAGATTAAAAACACGAGACCCTGTCCCCAACAAGCCGGAAGGCCTGGGCTGACACAGACTGTCCTCTGACCGCCACAAGCATGCGTTGCTCCCAACAAAGACTTTTTTTAAAGAAAAAATTAAGAGAACTGGAGAGATGGTTCAGTGCTTAAGAACACAGGCCACTCTTAGAGAGGATCAAATTAGCACCCACACTGGGTGACTTACCCTAACTCCAGTTCCAGGGGATCCGACAAGCTCTTCTGGCTTTCAAGGGCACCTACATACATATGTCATGCACACATGTACAGCAAACACATATACCACACACGTAAAATAAAATAAATCTTTAAAAAAAATTGAAAAAGTAAAGGAACCTGAAGAACCAGGGCAGAGTCTGTCAACTGGAAGCAATGCTGTGTCCCCACCCTCTGCTCTAGTCATATGACAGTGTGTGGAACACTTCTTATCATTGTCCCTCTGGAATGAGGGTGCTTGTGTATGGAGGCTGGGGATACCAGTGGATCCCACAGTGCATGGGAGAGTGGTGGGCTTCCCAGGTTACTGGTAGAACATGGCTCGCACACTCGAGAGTACATAGGATGATGGTTAAAATGTGTGTCTTGGTATGTAGAGCACTTTCCCCACTTGTGAGAAGTCCTGTCTTCCATCCCTAGAGTCTAGGATGTAGGATTTTCATTCTTAACAAGTTACCATGTGATTATGAAGCTCTTGGTCCGGGTCTATGAATTGAGAAATCCATTGTGATGGTTAGAAAACGCTATTACAGAGACTTAAGGAAGAAAACCATCCCACGCTAATCAAGCATCACTGGAGTGGCCAGAATCCAGCCCTGCCTTCTCTTAGCCATTGTAGGACATGAGGGTCTCTAGGAGACCAATATGGCTGCTGGAGGACCAGCCATAGTGACCTTATTAAAGCAGAAGGAAATAAAGACGGACCAACTGGCTTCAAGCTCCCTTAGAGCAGCCTGCTCTGAATTGCTGCAATAGCTATACTTGTATCTCTCCATTAGTTCTTACATAGCTATGCCTCAACACACAAGAGTCTGAACTTCATCACACCAGCAAAAAAAAAAAAAAAAAAAAAAAAAAAAAAAAAAAAAAAAAAAAAAAAAAAAAAAAAAANAAAAAAAAAAAAAAAAAAAAACCAAAAAAAAAAAAACAGTCAGAGTTGTATTAGCAAATAGAAAGGGCAGAATAAATATTGGGGTGGGCAAGAAGCAGCAGCAGCTTCAACTCAAGTCTGCCAGCCCAAGCTATCCTAAGCGGTATCACTTCCTTGGCATCCGCTATTCACCAGGTGGTTTCCATGTATTATCTCATGAGCTTTGTAAAGTAGATGATAATATTATTTTGCAAATGATGACAGCCTGGTTTCCATGTATTATCTCATGAGCTTTGTAAAGTAGATGATAATATTATTTTGCAAATGATGACAGCCTGTTTCATGGCGTAGGCTTCCTTCTTGCCTCAGTCGATCACAGAGGCCTGCCTTTCCCTGAGAACCTGCAGAACGTTGGCTAGTCTCTTCAAAGGCTAAATCCTGCCCTGCTGGTGGTGATGAATTTGCCTTTCCTGTTCCTGCATCCTGCTCTGGTGCCCTTTTGGAAAATCTTTAGCGGTGGAGATTGGGTCTGGGAGATTGACTTAGTGGTGTAAGGCTTGCCTGGCATCTTGGAAGCCCTAGGTTCCATTGTTACACCGTGAAAACGTCTCTGTGGAAGTATGGACAGATATAGTACGGTCTGAGGCCAGTTTCAGTGTGCTAAACAGAAGTTATCAACAGAACTAATTCCTTCTAGTCACTTCAGGGGAGACACCATTGCCTTCACCGTCCCCTGTCCTTGCGACCTCCTCCTTGAATTCTCTCTTCCGTTCCCACACCTCTCTTCCCTGTGTCCCACCCTCTGCATCTTTGATGATGCTGAGGCCTATCCTGACGCCCCAGGATGGTCTCCCGCCTTGGTCTGCTGACCTCATCCTGTCCACACAGCTCCTTTCTGTCATGAGTGTTGACAGCAGCTAGAAGGGGAGCATCTTTCAATGTCTCCATTTTCTCCCCTTCCATAGACCACTCCAGACGACACAGACTGTGTGTGTACTCTACTTAGGCATGGAAGTTTTAAGAGAGGCCAGAAGCTAGGCCTGGCTGTTCACGCTTGTCATCCCAGCACTTAGGAAGCAGAGGCAGGAAAGGTGGCCTTCAGTTCAAGGCTAGGCAGGACTACAGTGTGATTGTCGGACTACCCTGTATTGTAGATGGGGAAACCCTGTCTCAAAAAGGACAGCAAGTAAGTAAGGGGCCAGAGATGAGGACCAAGGAAAGGCTGTGTGGTGGATAGCTTGTGTACTCTGTCATAGCAACAAATAGAAAGATAGGACAAGGGAGGGTTCTGCCCCGGGTGCCACTGTCACCTTGGTAGAGTGGCTTTACCTGTGGAGCAATGTCAGCAAACTTCATCAACCTTGGCTGCCGTCCCTGGTGACTTTTCAGCTCCCAGACTCCTTTTTAAATCCCTGCACCTCTTTGCTTTTCTCCAGGCTAACAGAGGCAAAGGCTGTACGAGTAGTTTGACGAGGGTAGAGAGGAGAGAACTTTCTCATGCCTGAACCCCACTTCCTACCAGGGTGGGTTAACTCCCGGTCTTCCATCCCACACCCTCCCTCTGTCTCGTTCTGAGGGTGACAGTCTGGGGCCTCACATGTTTTGCCTTGGGTTTTGTTTGGTAAATTCCTCATGGCAGTCCCTCTGTGCTCAGTGTCCTGCTCTCAGCTGCATGGAGTTGCTGAGCAACCAGAAGGAAGCCCCATCACTGCCAATTAATTTGCCAGCTGCATGGCCTGTCTCCCAGGCGAAAACGCTTGTGGGGATCTAGGAGACGGCCCCAGTGCTGGTGCAGAAGGAGGAAGGAGACTGGAGGAAGGTTAAAGAACTTTGGGTGTTTTTGGTGTTCTTTTAGGTCATATGTAAAGGAATGTGACAAGAGGCTGGGCTGCTCCTGCAATGAAATGTCCCTATTTTCTTTCACACCACCAATCAGAACTCACTTTTTAAATTTGTGATTCTGAACTTAAGATTGTCCCCTTCCCCAGATCTCTTGCAGAGATGTCTTCAAGTGTCTTCTGTCCTGGGTGTCCCCATCATTCCTCTTATCATTCTGGGCCTTGTGGTAGATGCTCCACCCTGCCAAGAAGATGTTTCAGCCAGACATTTTCACTTTGAACCTCTAGAATCCAAATCCCCAGGGCACTACTATCAGCTATGGGTACCCTGGTCTCTGCTGGTCCAGGAGGCCTTGCTCATGAGATACCTCCTTCCCTGCCATGGTCTATGAGGATGGTGCTTACTGGACGGGCTTATTTTTGGATCTGAGCATCCTTCCCACAAGGTCCTTAGGGTTGACCTGCCCACGTTTCTTGTCCTGAATTAATGATGGTTGCTGGACCTGAGACTTGTAAAGCAGCCACTTTTGTAGGTCAACGCCATCTCTAGTGGCCAGACCCAGTCAGCACTGAAGTGGGGTACTCCCCTGAGGGACTCAGTGATTTGATGCTCAGCATTGTGAGTGATGAGAAGTGGGAAGGGCCGGTGAGGGGTGTGCATTTGCCCTCACCTGTTTGCCCTCGGACTTGGAGGAGAAGTGTGCCGGGTGTCCTGTGGGTACCCTATGCAATCTACGTCAGTTATTCTGCAGTCGCTGTGCGTGGAGTCTACTGTGACCATTTGTTTGGAGAACCAGACCCTGCTGTTCTGGGGGCACTAGCATGTGTCTATAAGCAGGGCAGTGCGACACCTCCACACCCATCTGTTGGCTCTGAACGGGGCACAGGCTTCTCGGGGGTGCTCCAATGAGCAGGGAGTTTTTCTGGAAGCCAGATGTAAGCCTCACTTTCTCCCGGAAGCACTATGTCCTGTGTTCGGATGCCGCACCAGTGGAACCCTGGGAAATAGCATTGGGAAAATGAAGCGCTGTGAAAAGACCAGATGCCGCCATGTAACTCTTGCTGTCTTTTGGCCCGCAGGCTTAGAAGGAGGCTGACCAAGGGCTGTTCCTGCTCACCCGTGCTGCTCACCAGAAGCTCTGTGGAACCGTGGAAAATATGTTCCTGGCCCTCCTTTGAGGACTCGTCCAAGATCAGGCTATCTCTTAAGAGGCAAGATCCCTGGATTTCAACTGAGGAATATTATTTTGAAAGCTATAGAAACTTCCAGACTGTGAAGCTGTTTGGGAACACTCTGCATTGACTTGAATAAAGAAATACATACATCGTGGACATGACTACAGCTAGGGAAGGCTCATCATCCCAACTCATCTACTGTCTTGTAGAAGACAAGTCTCCTGGTATCACTACCTAGGATATTCTTCTCTACCCTGTTGCTGTCCCAGGCACCACACCCTTTCCTGCCTGACCCCACCTTGCCTTTGGACCCAGAGATTCTTCTTATTTGCTCTGATATCTTCGAGCCGGAGGCAGAGTGAATAGTTAACTACACTTGAGTTGAATGGGATCTTGATTTTTGTTTCTGTTCCTTGTAAAGAGGCCATTCCCTGTGCACAGTGCACAGCCTGGAGATGTTAAGTGACTCCTGGACTCCTGAGTGACGCGGGAATTGGCGTGGAGGTTCTGTGGCCTCTTGGCAGTCAGGGCAAGTGGAGACGGCTGAGCAGGGGAGTAGAGCAGGGCTGGTCCTGACTTTGGGCTTGCGTTGCTTGGATCCCATGCAGGTGTGCATTTGGACACATAGAGATGAAGCCATCGTCCAGTCCATCTTCGGTGATGCAAATGGGATGAGCTATAAAGACCTTCAGAGGTGACAGGGATCAACTCATCCAGGTGCTTTGAGACTGAGGCATTGCCTACTGAGGACCTTGTCCCCCAGTTTATGCTGGTGTCCCATGCAGCTGTCAGAAGCTGGGAACTTCTCTTATCTCTTTCCTCTGTGGCCTCTACTTGGGCAGTTGAGAATCCTTCCTAATGAAATCGTGGTTCCACCTTCTTGACTGCACACTCGAAGATGTTTGAGGATTTGTATTTATAGTTTGTTTATATAAAACATCCAAACTCCTTGTGTTGTAATTGATGCATTTCTATGGCTGTTCAGTGACTTTACAGGGGGATATTGTCTTTGGCCCCTCAGATTCGCCATGGTGGAATTGAACAAATCTCCTAAAGATGTTTTTAATGCTGTTGAAGTCCAAAGAAGGCTTACAGACCCCTCCTTCCTCCCTCCCTCCTCTACTTTCTTCTTTTCTTCTTTATAAGTGTGTCTGAATTGCATGAAATCCTTCAGGTGTTGAGGAATGGTGACCCACTCCTAACATCTCTGTAAATGTGGTTCTTTTCTAAAGTAACAGTAGATAAGGCTATAAAAATGGTTGATGGGGCTGCCCAGGTGCTTGTCCCATAATCCCATAGTTAGACCTTGTACTCAAGACCTATGGGGATGAAAAGGCCAGGGACATCCAGACCATCAAGTTCCTCGCTTTGCAGTAGGAAATAGTGTTCCCAACTTCCACATTTCACTCTGTGTGGAGCTGGGGAGATCCAGTCATCCTAGCCTGCCAAGGACAAGGGAATTTTGGGGGCAAAAGATGTGGGAAAGCTAAATCTGTGTGTCACTTGAAAAAAGTGTCACAGTTGGTCATTCTACAGAGTGAAGTAGTGACCATATCTCTTCTGCTGCTGCAGCAAGGCAAAACTTCTAGGTTGCTTGGCCAGCCCCCATTCAGAGCTGTTTGTCTGCTCTCATTGGCCACGGGGCAGCCTATAGACAGACCAGATCAGGTGCCCCATCCTGACCAAATCTGTTTGCAAGATGGTAGGTTTGTCTTGTACTAAAGGAAATCGTAAGTGTGACGGGCCAGTTGAGACCAGGTCCTTCCAAGGAGTGTTGTGTACAGTAGGCATGGCAGAAATTCAAAGTCTCAGGAATTGTTCTAGGACAGTCCTATATAAGTGACCCTTGCCTCCTATTAAAAATGAAACTGCCCTTGAAGAAGCAAACCCACGGTCGCCGGGATAGTACAGGACGCCCCGCGTCATGCTTGTGTTTGCATATGTGTGCATATGTGTGCGCCACACCTGTGCAAACATGTGCGCTATAGAATAAACGAAGATCAAAAATTTCCATCTGTGCTAGACAGAGACAAAGAGCTGAAGTCTTCGGGACGATGTCTGGAAAGCAAGGGACTTGGCTAGGGGACTTCCTGAAAGTCCTTTGAACTGTAGCTTTTATTTAGAATATCAAGGGCATTTCGACTGGGTCTAAGTGTGTACTTTCTCTCTAAAGTCCTCCCCGATAACCCTGATAACCTGGGTTCAACTCAGAAAGCATGGAGTGGGCCCTCCCAGCTCACTCTTACCTTCTCAGTCACTGCCTAGCTTCAGGGAGCCGCTGGAACTTTAAGGAGGTGGGGAAGGGTGGATTCATACCAATCCAATTTGAGGTGTTCATGACAAGTAAGAACAATTGAAAGGTAAATTACAGGTTCTTTTGCAGCTTAGAAAAGCCAGGTTTTCAGGATTGCCTGGCTCCTGAAGTTGTTGCTGCCTGTCAGGGGCTTCAGCCCCCATCTTTCTGCCGAAAGCTAAGCAGGAGGGTCCATGGTGCTGGAGCATGGGCCTCCCACTAATCCTTTTATCTAGAGTTGCGAGACCACAGGGGGGTAATTACATACGAGGGTGGTGATGAGCATCCAGGCATCCAGGGGTTTTGGCATCATTCTTGAGAATCCCCATGCACTGGGAAGAATCCTAGCCCGTATCCTTTTCTTTGGGTACCACCTTTGAAAAGATGACTATGGGATTGGGAGGATGGATCCATCCAGAAAGTACTTGAGGACCAGTGATGGTATGCATTTATTAACTCAGTGCCTGGGAGTTAGATTCCTGGGGTTCACTGTGCAGCCCAACTCACATAGGAATCTCCTTTCAGATTCTGACCAGATATCATCCAGACTTGGCGGGGGCAGCCTTTGCTTGAGAGGGAGTTGCGAGGGAAGGCTGAATGGTCTTCACCGTGACGGTGAAAGCAATTCAGAGGCTGTCATGCGGTGATGATTGTCAGTTCCTCAATGAGATTTTGAGCTGATGTATTTTGCCTTCTCCCCTAATCAGTTTCTTATGTTTTGATCCTAATGGTATGTATATGCTGGTTTAAAATAAAAATTCCAGGGCAGGGAAACAGGAGACCTGAGATAGTGATGTCAGAAAGTCACCCTTTTTTAGCTCCTTGTATTTGATGTGCAGGGTTGGGCACAGGTGTCCAGGACCATCACCCGATGACATGCACATTGCTGTCAGTTTTCTAGGAGTTGCTGTCTTAAAGATCAGCTGTCTTTTCCGTAGTGGAAGCGTCCATGAGATGATGTCCATGGGACGATAGAAATCACCCCATCCCCGAGCTGACCACTCTCAACCTGATCTTCACTCAGTTATGGTGATCATGAGTACATTTCAAATTCACTCTGCTCCACACCCCTGGGATCTTGCGGGACATTTGAACTTGACTCCAGACCACAGGAGCACTCTGGTCTACAAATAGACCTGGGGAACCGTTCTATGGAGATAGCAGTGTGAAATTACTAGAGACAGGAAGACATTCTTATGGGGATGCAGAGCCTCCTGCTCAGGAGGCTGCAGTTTAAAGGACAAAAAGTGACTTTTGAAATGACCACTGATACTGGATGAGACCCTCAAAGAGTAGACTTGTGGAAAGCAGCGTAGGGAAGCTGAAAGAGATGCTGAGCTTTCGGTAGGTTGAGGAACAGTCTGGATACCTGGGATCCAGTCCTTGGCTTTAACTAGCTCAAGGTCATGTGTCAGTCATTCAACCCTGCCTCTGTGGCTCAGTTTTGTGGTACATGCAATGGAGCAGGAAAGTAAAGAAGTTGAGTGTACGTCAGGGTTGTCACCCTGCCTGTCCTGGCTGCTGTCTATTTCCTGATGGGTAGCTCATTGTCCCTTCAGCTATACAAGTTGGAATTAGGGCTGTCCCATCCTAGGGAAGTTCATTACCAAAGCATACTTCAAAGATGTTTGCACATGTTGTCAGTCACACTGAGCGTGAGTTTGTTGAAGGAAAAGGCAAATAGACACACAGCCTGTGATGGGAGGTGTGACGGGGGCTGTTTAGCTCTAAGTGACTGCAAGGCAAGGCAAGGGGGGAAAAAGAACCAAAAATTCTGCCTGCCATTTTGACCAACAAATAAAAACAGGCTAAACCATAGGAGATTTATTAGTCTGCACAATGAAGGATAGATACTAAGTCTGAAGTTGGCCCATCCTGGGACTTGCCTCTTGGCTTTTTGTCCTTCCAGGCACTGATGTCGGCAGACTCCAAGTTATTAAGTTCTATTTAGTTTCTTTCTTAAAATTGTTTTCTGTCTCTGTCTTCCCTCCCTCCATTACCCATCCTTTCCACCTCCCACCCATCCTAGGAACTCAAGGATGGATTTTGGAGGAAGTGGAAGACTCTGCCTGGTCATAAAAATCCTCTGTACCAAGGGCTCTGACTGGCCTGGGTTGAGCTGTCTGCAATTGTGGTGGCCTTGGGAAGTGAAATTTCTAGGTCACCTTACAGATCCTCCACCTCTGACCTGGACTACAGAGTGCAAATAAGCAAAGAATTTGTCCCTCATTAAACTTAGAATGAGCACTGTGGCGAGTGTTAGGAAGATGGAACTGCAGCTGTTTCCAAATCATAACCTTGATGTCCTAGGAGACCATACATGCCTATGCATGACAGTAGCTTCAACAGACATATTGAGATAGTGGTCCTATTTAAGGAGGGGTCTCACAGGACCTATGACTATTAGAGCAGGCGAGGGGTGGTTGTCTACCTAGCTTCCAAGAACCAGGTAGAATGTGAGCATCCCCAATGGCAAGCTACCGTAGGGCCTTCTGCTCCACATCAGACCCTCAGTGCTCTTATCCAGACCTGCTCCAGGAGACGGCCCAGGAAGTCTTCCTTCTTGGCCCCAGGCATTACAGACAGCTCTCCACCTCTGCTGCCCACAATTGGGAATGTTCTGGAAATGCTTCATGACTAAAGTCCCTCTCGGATTCCAGTAATGAGCTTTTATTGAATGGGGTGTGTTAGCTTTCCATAGCTTTAGCAAATACCAGAGATAATCGGCGTTTAAAGAAAATAGGTTTATTTTGGCTCGTTGTTTTGAAGGTTCCGGTCAGAGCCATTGCTTGGGGACAGACCTGAGCAGGAGCCTATGGCAGAGCAGAGCCACTCATTTCGTGGCTGGATAGAGAAAGAGGGTCCCGAGTCCCACAGTCTCCTCAAGGGCATTTCCGCAATGGCGTGAAGACATCCCAGGAGACCCAGACTTTAACACATAAGCCTGTGGTGGTGGTAGTGGTGGTGGTGTTGTTTTAGGTTCACACTGCAATCTACCGTGTGATTTCAAATCCTTTGCCCATCTGTATGGAGCAGTCTGTGTTTTGAAGAATAGCTGGCAAGCACCAGGGGGAAGAACTCCCCTGTCTCAAGGGCTCTCTTTTCTAGGAAATCTTTTTTGATTTTTTTCCTTCCCTCTCAAGCAGTAGAGACAGCCCTGTCACATATTTTTAAAGTATGTTGCAGCATATATGTTTGTATGTATGTGTGTATATATATATATACATGTTAGTATTAAATAAAGTATATTTAGATTGAATTATTATTCTGAGTGCCTCCTCTCTGCTTCTCTCTGTCTCCTCTTCTTCTGTTGGCAGAAGAATCTAGTTATTCATTATTGATTGAAAGTTGATCCCAAATGGCCCAATGGTCTTCGGCTCTCAGCACAAGCCCTCTGTGGTCGGCTATTCGCAGACACTCTCTGGTCATTGGAAGGCAGGCCCAGAGGAGTCCGGGGCCTTGTTCAAGCCTCAGACAGGTGAGAGCTGCTATTGAGCAGCAGCAGGGTCATTGACCCGGCAAATGAACAAACACGATGTGGCGTTGACTTTCCCTGTTTGCAGTCTGTCACTGCGTGGAGTGCCACATCTGCCTGCCTATTGTTTGCCTTCTAATAATCAATGAAGTGTTATCAGAACAACAGAGAAAATATGTGAG